CCTTCAGGTACTGGAAGGCAGCTGTTAGGTCCCCCCCAAGTCTTCTCTTCTCCAGCTGAACAATCCCCGCTCCCGCAGCCTGTCCTCAGAGCAGAGCTGCTCCAGCCCCTGGGTCATCCTTGTGGCCTCCTCTGAACTCGTTCTGATAGATCTATGTCCCTCCTAGAGCGGGAACACCAGAACTGGACGCAGCTGGTGGTTTATTACATTGAAGGATGCAGAGAAGAAAGTTTCAACCCAAAATTGTCCGGATGAAAAGAATTCATAAGTGTCTCCATCTCCCCAGGGAGGCAGAATCAGGATTCCGCTGCATGTCTCTGAATTCTGTGGCTCAGGAAAGGACACAGCAGCACCGCCTGCTCACACAGGACAGCTGCAGGGTCCTGCCGCAGGCACCGCTGGCTTACCTCCGGCTGGTGAAGACAGGAGTCTCTGGGCTGCAGCGGGTGTCCCAGCCCTTCAGCAGGCTGTCGTCTCCTCCTGCACAAAGACAAAACAACTGATAACCTGAACACCACACAACCAGCCAGCACAAGGTACGGAGGCAACGCAGTTAACACCGAGCTGACGCTTCTCAGCCCTGGGATCTCGTGGCATTTAAGGGGCAAGGCAAGCATCACTTGAGGCTCGAGAGACATGCATTAACAACACTTTCATTATGCTAAGAAAAAAAAATTAGCAGATAAAAAGACTGGACTCAAGAAGCTCTCTTGTGTGCACCACAAGGGTTTATCGTCTTTTTTGCTACTAGCCAAAGTACCGTTTAAAAGGCACAGCTTCTCCTAATTAATTCCAACCCATTCTCACAATCAAAAAGCCCTTCACCCCTAGCAGAGGCCCCAGCTCTTACAGGAGGTGTGATGTAAGCAGCGTACTCAACCCCGGAAAGTAACATCCCAATGAACACAGAAATGAGATTCCCATCCCTTACAGACCTGAGTACACAATATCGGTGTCCCAGTAATTAAAAGCAGCAATCCAGGCCTCGAACTGATGAGCTTCCCACTGGTTCAGGACATGCACAGACGGAGCAGATTCATCTATGGAGAAAAGATTCAGCTTCCCCTCTGAATCGCTGCTGATCACTCTCAAAGGACATCCACTACAGTGGAACAGAAAGCAAACGTTAGCAATTACTGAAACTCATGTCCTACGAAGTTACTAGAGTAAAAAATAGCAGTCAGAGTATAGACAGGTGACATAACGTAAGACCATGTATGTTTGATTCAGCTGAACATGGGCAGACGCCGGCAGTACGGTGGAAGGAATGTGCACAATCACACAGGTCTTTTCTGCTTCAGCCCATCCCATTTTAAAATCATCTACACCCAGGATCCTCATGCCCTCATCTCAAAGGGGGAGCAAACCCTCACACTCATGCGTGTGAAACAAAATCAGCCTTCAGTCGTTCTTTCTCCTCGATGCACAACTTGACTTCTCACGTGATTGACATTACATCAACAAATCAATTCCATGTGAAGAGGGATTTGGTTTTCCTCCCAGTCAGACCGACAAGGGCCTCTCAGAGTCTCTTCCAGAGCATGAAGAAATCTTTTATTTCCCTGTTACCACAGACATCTGAAGCACTGGCTGATCCTGACCCTTCCTGCCCTCTTCCTGTGGCACAGTACTATTGCAGTTTCTGGACACAATGTTCTTGCAGCACTGGCTGAAGTTTTGCAGCCCACATTGCACAGATTTTATGACGTTTCCTGACACGAACTAGGGACCTCCTCCTTCTTTGGTTACCTGCAACTGTAGATACTGATCTGGTGGCTCAGGGCTTCTCTTCGCTTCTACACTGCATGCTAGTTACTAAACCACACTGAACGCTCCAAATTTCCAGACAAGAGATATGGGGTTGACTCCTTCCTACGGAGACATGAAGGCTGCACATCCAGCTTCTAGGAACAGATGTCTCCGAATTAACAAAAGTGACAGCCTTTAAAGGGACTTTTCATCATGGCAACGATCATTTATCTTGAAGGGGAGAGTCAAGGGGAAGAAGGAATGCAAGGAAGAAGAAAGTGTAACTGGAGATTCCACTTACTCATTAAAAAACATGTAAAGAAACAGCTTTAATTAGCAAAAGCCTCTAAATATTTCCTCTACAGCATTAAGCACAGGACTGCCTGATCCCCTCACTTTTCAGCCTCACACCAAAGGCAAGACTCTTCAGTTTGCAATTAACTTACAGAAGACACATACCCTACCTCTTTCAAGGTACAGCTAAGTCATGTTATTTCGTAACACATGCCATTAAAATGGCAGCGATGCCATTTCTGAAGTCAAACGTGTGAGCACTTGAGAGGAAGGAGCCACTTCCAAACCAATTCTCTCCCATTTCTCACTAACTCAGTCTTTAACTTCCTGCATGTGCTACAGCAGCAGTTCTTAAGCAGAACTTCACACTGAAATTTCAGTGGGTCTAACAGCAGAGCTGGAACCAGAAGATCCACCCGCATCCCCTTTTCGTCCTTCCTTTTAGCAAATGCAACAGAAAGACATGTCCTCGGCTCACCTGCCCCCGCTCTCCAGAGCACAACCTCACCTTTGTTGTCGGTTTAGTCTCAGTTAAGAGTGGCCATGGTACGTGTTCTTGTTCCTTTGTCACCTTTACTCTGAAAATAGCAACTTCTAGAGAAGGTGCAGGGAGACAACTGGGATCAAGAAGGTCTTAAACCACTTCACAAAAAGTCACCAAGGGCTCATTCATCAAAGCCCCCAACTTACGGCTGAAAACTGTCACACACCCAGTGACCTCCAGTACCAGCCTTTAGCTCCCACCCTCACCATTGCTCTCGTCTTGTGGACCAGTCTAACGACAAGGCCAGACGCTGCGGACCGAGATCGACCCTGAAGCACGGCTCCAACATGCAGCTGTTCTTCTACTGGAAAGAAAAGGAATGGGTTAAGAACTGGAAGACCACAGGTACATAAAAACCATTCACACTGCTTGCATCTACAGCAAGTTTTTTCCAGAGAGCAACAAGCACATTAGGGTCCCACACTGAGGGAGACGAAACGTCCCACAACAACGTGCAATCGCTTGGTGTAGCCAAAGGGCAAACATACACGTAGACAGGATTTCCCCCCTTCTGCTGCCCATTAAGTTGCCCTTAAGCTTTGCTTCCTCTCAGTGAGTGAAGAGCAGGAGAAGCGGCAACCTGACTGTTGAATTCCCTTATAGACTGGCTTCCACTTTCTTCATTGGCTTTGATCAACCAAAAGAAACCCCTCTCCAAAATTCTTCCCTGTTTTTAACAATTTTGTCTCTTCTGCTGTGTTCACCAGTTAGTCGATCCTTATTCTCAAGTAACAGTTTCCAGGGTTGCTTCTGCTCCCCTCAGGGAGGCCTCGTGCCTCCCACACTCCGCAGGTGGGTAGAGCCCGGCCAGTTTCTCCTCCCAGTCACAAACAAATTTGTGAGATTTATGAGAAACATTATCAAAAGGAAAAGGAAACAAAAGCAAGCTAAGCATGCAGAGGAAGCCATGGAAACCATACAGTTTTTAACATGTCTTTGAATACTGCTGCTAAGTCCAGGCGTATGAAATCCGGGTTAAACACAGCTTCAACAGCAACAGGAATTACAGCCACCTACCTCGCTTCCAGTCAGGTGGCAAAACTCCACGGCGCCTGTCGAGTTTGCAATGCCAACCATGGGATGTTCTGCAACAGGAATGTGGCACCTAAAAGATCAAGTTAAACAAGCCTTGAACATCCATCCCTCTTGGGTTTAGGGAGGAGAGTGAGGTCACAGAAACACAGAATTATAGAATGTTGGGGGTTGGAAGGGACCTCTAGAGATCCCCCCGTGCAAGCCCCTACCAGAGCAGGATCCCCCAGGGCAGCCCCACAGGAACGCGTCCAGGCAGGTTGGAAAGTCTCCAGAGCAGGAGACTCCGCACCCTCTCTGGGCAGCCTGGGCCAGGGCTCCGGCACCCGCACAGGGAAGAAGTGTCTCCTCATGTTGAGGCAGAACATCCCATGTTCTAGCTTACACCCATTATTTCTTGTTCTGTTACTGGGCACCACTGAGAAGAGATTGTCTCCTTCCCCTTGACACTCACCCCTCAGATATTTCTATACGTTAATAAGGTCCCCTCTCAGCTGTCTCCATTCAAGGCTAAACACCCCCAGGTCTCTCAGTCTCTCTTCACAAGAGAGATGTTCAAGTCCCTCAATCACCCTTGTAGCTCTCCCTTGGATTCTCTCCAGTAGGTCCCTCTCTATCTTGAATTGGGGAGCTCAAAACTGGACACAGTATTCCAGGTGTGGTCTCATAACGTTTATTCCAGGATGCACCAGGACAAAGTACTTGACCAAAAAATCCATGACGAAAATCTAAAGCTCCTCAAGTTCACACAAACCTGCATAGCAGGAATTATATAGAGGGGAAAACTAGTATACACTATTAAACAAACAAAAGAGGTTCACAGTCACTAACCAGCGGTTCACAAACAACCAGAAGAGAAGAGAGCACAGACTTTGCTCGCTACAGCAAACCAGAGAATACTTAGAATTATAGAACTGTCAGGATCGGAAGGGATCTTAAAGCTCATCCAGTTCCAACCCCCTGCCATGGGCAGGGACATCCCTCACTAGATC